AGAGACAGAAACGGATGGAAACAATGCTGTGACCTGCACGACGAGTGAAGACAGGCCATCTAAGTAAGTAAGTAAGTAGTATAGATGTTCAAATCCGGTGTAAGAGCTTATTATTGGATCCTAAAAAATTCAACGTCCGCTTGTTTCTGTAATCAAGTCAAAGAAAGAGTTCGGCTCTTCTAAAACGAAAGCAACTCGGAAGCATGGACAATCACGACGTCCCCACTCATGGTCAATGTTAATATAGAGACTGGTTGAGGTAACTCAGAAATTTAAAAAGAACTAGCGAATTCCGAATGCTGTACGAACTCGTTGAGATTAGAAGGTTTGAGCTAACAAGAAATGCTCAGCTTCTTCCTGATGCTCTGGTTTAACTGGCAGTTTGGGGAATACGCTAACTATGTTGATTGCAATGAAGAAAGAAACATCGTTCGCACCTATTTCAACTACTCGAGGGTTTTTTCCTGATACCTATATAGCGACGCCATCATTGACGCCGGCGTTTAAAGTGGATTTAAAATTTAATGAACAGATTCTTTTGGAGTAAATGGATTTCATTTTTCGTTGCGACTAATGCTACTAAAAGTACTTTACCATCGAGCTTGAGTTGCATTATAAGACCTCATTTGCATCTTTGGCTAACGTCGAACGAATTTGTGGGGGATCCTAATCTCATGTTGAACTTGGAGATAAGGAAAATATAAAACCAAAAGCGGCAACGTTCCAACATCACAACTACATGTGGTAACCTTTTGGTTGCCAGGAGCAAAGGATGACCCGCAGCCAAAAATGATGCACATGCTCCACCAAATATTCCAATCAGATCACAAGTGCAAAATCGTGACTGAATTAGTATTGGAAATAACCGGTACCTTGTTGGTGTTAGCCCTGGTGATAAAGTTCTCTCCCATAGAGGTCTATAAATTTTCCGTGGTTTTAGCTTCTTGAATAATGATTCTTTAAGGGCAGCCTTCGTTCTTTTCTTGAGATTTTTCGTGAACTTTTTCGAATCGCTTTGTGTATCGTCCTCCTTTAGTAATGGACTCAGGAAGCCGGATTCCTTCTGCTTTGGTATTGGCGCGAAAGCACTTGTAACATCCGAGTAAACAGCGTAGGAACTCTCTTCCGCGCAGTCCTCTTCCGCTAGGTATTTGTCTTTTGCCTCACATAAGCACATGGAAGACGATCTAGCCAGATTAACCTCATTCTGCTTGGATAACGGTTTAGTTGAATCAACTTTTACCACTGTTTCTTTCACCAATTTATGATCATCAAGTTTCTCCTTTGTGTTGCCTACATCAGTCGATTCGTCTTTGGCTTCGCTCGAAACCTTTTTCGCTTGAAGCTGTTCACGCTTCTTGACATCAGACATTGCTCCTGATGATTGCGATGCTCTTGAAGCCGAAGATTTAACCTGAGGACTCTTAATTTGAGAAGGTTGTGATGATGCTTCAGATGGATTGCCTCCCTTTATAGTTGGTAGATCTTGAGAAACTGATTTGTTCATTGTAGATCTATCTATTCTTTCTTCAAATAATTTGCATAACAGTGCTTGGATATCTACTCCAACCTTGGAATTACTGCCAATTGCAGGAGCTAGAAAGTAGAGCATTAGCAACTTTTAATTTTTTGACAAAGACAGGAAAAAATTGAGAAAAAAAGTCTACACAGATTCTATTTTGCTTCGAAAGTGGGAGGACCAACAGAGCTTTACACAAAAGCCGTCCCCATGGCCACAAGAAGCATTTATTCCCGAAACAGCTAGTGTTGAGTAAGGACTATTACCGCCAACAGATCTCGCCCTCGCGGACTATTAATCCTTTTCAGGGTTTTAAATTGTGATAATCCAGACGAACCTATACATTTCCATTAAAGAACAATCGGCATTTCCGATCTACGAGAAACCTTGGGATGGAGCAGCTATCTGTGGGAGTAGGGCTAATGGCAATGAATTTCTCTACCTTCTAGTATCCAATAGCTGCCTGGAATATCCTCGATAATTATAGAAGCGTTGGGGATAATACATCGGATTTCTATGCCACTCCATCATACAGAGAATGTTTTTTTATGATTAAAGGAGATATGAGATGAAAAACCTAAGCATGTCTGACGATATGCGATTGGCAGAAACAAGCGCATGAAAACGTTCTTGCATTGCAGCAGACGGTGTATAAAATAGTTCAAACCAATTTCAGTAAGTGTGTACTGGTACAGGATGTTTTCGGGAGTTTCACACCCTAATCAGTGTTTTCCTAGAAAATAGCAGCTTACAGATTAGCGCTATCATCGTAATAATCAAACACCCTACTACTAACAAACCGCTCACTGGCATGAGTTGTTAAGATTACTGTAACCCTAACAGATCAATGATTTAATACTTCTCAATTACACAAATCAAAATAGCAACTCACTTAAAGAGCAATTTTTCAGGTTTTCGAGTGGATCTAACACAGGCTTCGATATCGCTTTTTCGTCAACCGAAGCGGATTGTGGATCGCTTGTGTGCTGTTCCTCTTCTTCTTCGGTCGGATTAAAAAAATTCACACCGTTCAAGGATGTCGGCATATCTGAAGCAAAAAATGAATGAAAGACATATGGCACCAAAATTCAATTGTCTACATGTATTCAACACACATCTGGAAGATATTTAAAGTACATACGGGATGATTTATTGATGTTGGCGACAAATTTTATTTGAGAGAAGTATCAGATCCTAGACA